TTATAACTGAGCATATTACCATAATAAATTGATAAGAAAAATATCACATTTTCCCATTAAGTATATAGTTTGAATTTAATACAATGTCTACGTTTTTGTTTTGCTTCAATGTATATGTTCATTTTGAAGTGATGGATGTTCCTCAGCATTTACAACTATAAGTGTTGGGTGGTAGGAGGTTATCAACAGGTTACTTACTTATGTCTGTTACTCTTCGTGGAAGGGCATAGGCTGATCATCAGCACTCTCCATCCAACTCTGTCCTGGGCAATCCCTTCCAGCTCTTCCTGGTTTTTATTCCTCTTTTTCATGTATGCTTCAGATTCCCGCAGTAATGTGCTCTTTGATCTTCCACTTTTCCGCCTCCCTACAGGATTCTAAATTAGTGCTCGCCTCGTTACGCAGTTTGGTGGTTTCTGTAATGTATGTCATATCCGCTTCCATTATCTTTCCCTGACTTCCTCTTCGGCTGGAAGCTGGTTTGCTCTTCCCCACAGTAGGCTGTTCTTGATGGTATCCTGCCAATGGATTTTGAGTATCTTGCGAAGACAACTGTTTATAAATACTTATACCATTTCGATGATAGTTGTACTAGTTCTCAAAGTTTTAGCTCCGTATGGTAGAACTATCTCGACATCCGCATTGAAAATTCTGAATTTGATATTGGTTGATATTGGTAGGTCTTCTAGAGTTACTGTCGGTTACAAGTCCGGGTAAATGAGGAGGGTTAGGCATGGGGTAGGCAACCTCATCCCATAGAAAAAACGTGGCTAAAAAAACGCCAACTAGATTAAACAAATTAAACAAAATGAATATGTAACTCCAGATAAATGTTTTGTCGTAGTTGGAACATTTTTAGTGAGGAGTTTTGGTTATCTTATGGTAACTGATGGTATTTTGTGAAACCGAATTCTCATCTTACACTTTTTGAGTATTAGATGTTACAAACAAGTTATTCAGCGCGCGATTGGCATCCAATGTGTATGAGATATTCACACTTGACCGATTGCTAAGAAGTTACCGTTTTCACTTAGACCAGTGGCTAAACAGTGTTGTCACTAGAATTACATTGTTAATTAAGAATTAGACAAACCTGATACTAGTCATTTCTCAGAGATAAATCAGTTATATACAACTATAAGTAATTAATAGTAGTAAACGTTTTATAGTTTACGGTGAAATTGTGAATTAAAAATTTTCGAGTAGCTTAACACCGGAATATTATACGTTCTTTTTTTCACTTTAGACATCGATGAGATTTTAGAAAAATTATAGTTAGTCTCAATGATGATACTAGTATCTGCTCGACAGAATTCTATATGTGTTAGAATATACATTGAATATATATTTACATCATTTCTATCAAACAAAATCGTAGTATTTTATAATAACATCGTAGTTGTGATAAAACTGCATTAATTCGTCTCTGTAGATGTTTTTATTTATTCACATTCTAAATAATATCAAATTAAAACTGAATGACTAGCAGTGTTATTTTAGGATATTTTCATTGTAATAAAGAAAGCCAAATCACTTATTTTCACACGTTATTACTTACTTTGAGTTGGAAGGTTTCAATTTATTTAAAATGTCTGTTTTACGAAGTAAATAATTTATGTTTGCATTTTTCTAACAGAGAAAACTAATTCAAGTGTAGCTGCCTAGTCGCTGGATAGAAATTGTAATTATATAGTCGAAACATAATACTGAATATGGAGTTTTTATTGACGTCATCTAGCCAGGATGAAACTAGACATATTACATAAATTGCGTGCAATTTGTATCATCCTCTTTCTTTGGAATGAACACACACTGTTTGTACAGTTAATTGAATTAGAAACCTTTGCCATGTTGATTTTGTAATGGGGATTTATTACTATCTTCAGATTCTACAATTATGTAACCAAATTAGCTTGTTTCAGACTTAAAGTCCTTCAAATGGTTGAAGCAGTAGCCTTCCGGATGAAGAAACAAGAACTGTGCGTATAGAAGCAATATCTTCAATTACTTCTCTTACCCTGGCCAACCTCAAGTCGAACTAATCAATAGTAATCTTAACTATTGAATTATCTCATTTGACTATTGTACTTACGACCTTTTGTAGTCAAATGTATTTGTCTCTGTTATCTTTATTTAAAAAGCTTTGTATCATTATCATTATTAACATTGGTTAAACATCATTAATATCAGAAGGGGTTTTGTGGAGATTGGAGTAATTTGAATAGTTGATATCATAAGTCAATTGAAGGTAGACCAACATGGAAAACCTGGAAGCACTGAACGGCCGTTTAGGCCTATTGTGGGACTCCTCAGCAGTGCGCATCCACGACCCCGCCTCGCGAGATCTGAACCCATGATCTATCACTCTCACGCACGAACGCTTAAACACTAGACCAGTGGGCAGTCATTCAACGGTATCAATGTCGATTTTCATTAAACATTATTAATCTCCCCTATACATGGTTCATTCACTTCTCATTCATCCCTCCTTATTACGTCTTACTAGTTTTTCAATATGGTCTTCGATTAAACATTTGATCGAATTGTAATTATACTATTATTTCTCTCACTCTATCTGACCCATATTTATTCGGATCAGTCACAACTTCACTTTTTTTCAGTTTATTATCGTTAAAATAAACTCGAAAAATTTTATAATAAAAAAATAGTATGATTAGTTTACGATACTTGCCAAATAGTTCCCCCACCTAAGTATGGTTTATAATGATGTTTAACTATTAAATTATACTCAAGTGATATACACCATAACGGGAAATCGTTTTTTTTTGTTGTTGTTTAGTTTCTATATTTAGCTAGTTGTTATATTCATTTACAGACTCGAACAGTATTTGATAATTGACTTTTTTATCAGAAGGGGTTTGTGGAGATTTTTAGAAATTTTCACAGATTGACTTTTTTGTTTTGTTAATTATTTAACCCTTTTTTATTAGTATCAACTATAATTAGTAGATTCAGTCTAAGTTAAACAAATTGATTTAATGTTAATAATATTTTTTTCTCAAATATTTATTGTTATTTCGGGAACTATTAAGTCTATTTGTACATAAGTATGTTTTAGATATAAGTCAAGTAACAAATATTGTTTAAAAGTTATCTAACTCACTGAACGTTTGACTATTTATGTATTACACAGTAGAAACATGGTTATTCATTTCAGTGACTTGATAAATCAAACTATTATTTTATGATAACAATAATCATAGCTAATGGTTGGAGGTAGTCAACAGGAAACTCTAAATATAAGTTTTGTGGTACTTGTCACTCGTCAGAAAAGTGTATCTGTATTGTTGAGGAAACTGATGTTCCTTGACGGATTCGTTCCGTCGCAATGTCGAATCACAGTGCATCTTGATCGGTAGGATTTGATCTGCACTACGAAGGACCTGACATACATAACACTGATCATCAGCCAGTGATCAATCAATTGTAAACGATCATAGCAATAATCCTAATTTAAGTGAAAGATAAAATACCTGAATAATATTTTCTTATTTATTTCATTTAGAATCAGACGGCATAAGTTCTTATTGATGTATTGAATATTAAAAAAGAAGGTATTAATAAATGTTTTTATGTGCATACAATTCTTTAAGGCGTAAAACTAATGATACATAAAAACTTTCGTTTTTAATTAATTAATTTATTTCAAAAATCGAAAACCAAGTAAACAGGGAAATTATGGATGAAACAGTGGTAGTGTGTTTATTAGCTGGATAGGATAAAACAATAAAATAATCACTAATAAATTGGAAAAAAATTTTTTTTGGATTGGAATAAAGTAGTTATCATTTTAACTTGTTGAACCGATTTATTATTGAAAAAGAAATAAATGGGTTCGAATCCTGCGGGCTGGAGTCGTGGATGCGCACTCTTGAGGAGTCCCACAATTGGACGAAACGGCCATCCAGTGCTTCTAGGTTTTTCATAGTGGTCTAGCTACAATTGACTCATGATCTCAACTATTGAAATGGATATCTCATTTTTAACTTAAGAACTATTTCACTTTAGGATCATTTAATAAATAGGGCGAAACTTGCTTCCTGGATTCCACTGCTAGCTACTGTCATGCAGTAAAGCTTGATTTAACTTTATTAATTGAAAAAACTGTTTGGAAACCAACTATAAATGAAGCATGAAATAATGCGACGAAATAATTGATTCTTTGGTTGAGTCATAAGGATAGAGTACATACTTTCTGTTTGATGTTTTCAAAATATCAGTGATTTCTATTGAAATCATTGAACGGAATCCTTTAAAACCAGTCACAATGATTAGTTGATTTTAGCTTTCATATTTCTGTAAATGTTGAGATGCAATACTGTTTCACAATGTTTCTTACTCGATTTTATTCATCTTCCCTCTTTCTATAAGTTCATGAACCTTTGACTTCAACCTAATAAAGTATTCTCTGTGTGCGCTGATATAGTTTGTGACAATTTAGGCCGATACTCATATGTTTCTATACACATTCCCTTCGTTCATTATGATAAAATCAGTTTATTATTACACAAATCAATAAAAACGCTAAATAATATTTTCTACATTCTTAAATAAGGATTATACCTTAATTAAAACTTCAAGAAATTATCCGCACTGATAAACGTGAGGAAATTGATCGACGTGATAACTATTACAATGGTTGAGAAATGACTGCTATCTAGTACATATCTGACTAATTACTACTTGTTATAGAAAATATGGAACTAATCCATGCAGTTGCATCATAATACAATCTTGAGACGAATGAAGAATGATTATAGGGCTAATTTCGCTGGCAATAATACATCATATATGGTATATATAAAGTTAATTTTTCGTTGCATATTGTAATAACAAAAACATGAATTTTAATTTCAGGTTTAATGTTAAACTGTTTACGAGTACAAACATTGTGAATATATTACTAAGTGAACACCTCAACCATGTGAGGAGTATTTCAAAGTAAATTTAAGATTTAAGTCATAAACATTTTTACTTACCTTATTAAATTGTTATTAATATCATTAGAAAATGTACGATTATATGAGATATTTGGTGATGGTTGACAAGATAATGATAATTGTGGCCGATTAGCTGATTTATAAAATGAATTTCTTTGTAATGTATAAAATGGTATACAATTATTTTGTGATAGAATTATATAAGGTGACCGGTCAAAACTATTACTATTACTAACATTAGTAGAAATGATGCTGTCACTTTGTTTTGTACAAAATGATATAGTTTCATTTGTATAAGAATTTGTGTTATAATTAGAAATAGTGAATAAATTTATCTCTCCATTTAAGGTAACATTTGGACAAAACGATGTTTTAACTACAGTTTTATTTGAAGTCACTGATGAACTGGAATTTAATTCATCTATTAGATTTTTAACTGAATATATTGGTGATATATTCAGTAGTTTATCAGGGCAAATATTTGATTGTATAGTGTTTGTTGTGATTGGATAGACTTTATCACTATCTTGTATATTATTTTGATTATTTTCACTCATTGAAATCGCTGTTTCCGACATGATATCATTCGTAGTACAAGTTTTGTTCTTATTTTAGTTTATTCATCAATCTGTTTAATACATTCATATAGAAGATATAAAGAATATATTTACATATATATTTAATTAAACAAAATAATTCCAAATTCTTTTCAATCACCTTAAATATAGTACAGTAGTAACTGTGTTTCTGAAACTGAACTAGTTCACTTGTAAAATTAATTTACACTACATAGTAATGCTCCAATAAATAAATAACAAAGTAACCAATCAGAAATGGGTAATGATTATTACAGATTTAAACAATTACGAATAAAAACAAAATTTACAATACAGATTGGCAGAGACTAAAATTTATAATAATAATAATAACAATATTACTTCTATTTAGTTTATTCTTTAAGAAAAAAAGGGTTCTGAATGAGAAATGCACTAAAAGTTATTATATTTCTTTTTCAAACTTTATATAAAACACTCCATGATGCCACTATTTTGTTTTTATTTGTCAATAACAAATAACATTTGTATCCAAGTATGAAAAAAATTCACTGATAAAAGTTATGAATAATGATTTTGAAACTGTTCCCTTTATGAATCTAATTATTGAAATTAAATAATGTATTATCAGTTTCAAAATATAGACAATATGATAAACTTGACTATTTTCAGGAAACATTGTATGTATAACCATAGCATCTAGACTTATTTATTAAGTATTTATACTTGATATACAAATCTAATTTTAGTTAAACTTATCTATTTAGAAACGTTGATAATGTTGTGCATTGAACGAGAGTATTTCTTATAACATCCATGTGCAGTCGTAAAATTTTGGTGTTTTTACGAACTAATAATTCCTTTGTAATTGATTATCTGCTGATTACAAATTCCAAATATAATACGTTCATTAGTGTTCATCTAGCTAGTTCTATCTGCCTTTAATTGTACTATTCCAGGAATTCTTAGTTACCACATTAATAGGAATACTTCGAAGTATCATAAAAATCTAAACAATAATGTTAAGCTCACGATGGTAAAAATTCTCACTAAAAATAATTGGTATTTCTACTCTGAATAACTTGAAGACCAATATAATAGGGTATTTCTAAAGGAGATTGCATGCTTTGCTTTTTTTATTCAACAAGCTGAAAAATTTTAACCTTTTTTTGAAAATGTTCCAAATAAGCTAATGTGACTAATAAAAATTATAAATAAATTTATGAGCGATAAATTGACAAAGTTATGGCGCCAATTAATCCATTTACTTTATGATTTCACACAATTAGATCATATTAAAGTCTGTTTTAAAAGAGATCTAATTCAATCAGAACAATTCTGTTGTGAATTGTGCATAGTTCAGTTAGTTACTGTATACTTACCTACCTACTTACGCCTGTTACTCCAAATGGAGTATAGGCCACCGACCAGCATTCTCCAACCCACTCTGTCTTGACCATTCTTTTCTAGTTCTATCCATTTGTTGTTCACTTTTCTCATATCTATCTCCATTTCTTGGCGTAATGTGTTCTTTGGTCTTCCTCTTCTCCTTTGGCTTTAAGGATTTCATATGAGGGCTCGCCTTATGACGCAATTGGCCACTTTCTTGAATGTGTGTAATAAATATAAATTATGTAAGCAGTTGTGAAAGTCTTATTATTTTACTTCTGTATTCACCGCCTAGATTAGCTGATAAATAATTGATGATAGCTTGAATTATCAATTAATACTAGCTGATTTGTTTTAAAGAAAATTTATTCAAGTATTTTATAAGAAGAAATGATATTACACTTACGTTATTAGTGCTTTTCAGTTTATCTCCCGTAGCTAATGACAATAATTAAATCATTGTGACAGAGTGAACAAAATAAAAGAGGACAATATCAAAAGCACATTTTATACTTTATCAAAATATATATGTACTGACATGGTAAATGTCAATTGTTAAACAAATGAACACGTATGACCGTAAAATACGAGTATGTTTAATGGATTTATATTTGTCTCATCTATAAGTGATAATAAGAGCCTTTGTTTTTAAAGACCGATATGATTTCTCTAACTGTTTACGCATATATCTTAAATAACAAATAAAAAAAATGAAACATTTTATTTAACAAAGATTCTGTAAAATTGAATTTACCCCTGAATTTTCTTATCGTTTAAGTAAACCTATTTCTAAGTATTAATTAAAATAAAAGTGAATGATAAAAGATAAAAATAAAAACTGTAATGCATCGGTGAGTATTGAATATTGAACGTCTAATGATAATTTCCTGAAAGTCTTTTTATACCTCATTAACATTTATTATTATTGAGTGGAGATTGTTTACTTGATTTTAGTTTTGGATTGAAATCATGAACCGATTGACGTTAGACAAACATGGAAAACCTGGAAAAACTGTATTGTCGTTTTGTACTGTTCTGGGACTCCTCAGCATTGCGCATCCACGGTCCCGCTCGCGAGATTCAAACCCAGGATTGGGTGAAGTTAGACATTAACATTGTTGGATGTCAGCTCGGTAGTCTATAGGTTAGGCATTCGCGTTCGAGATCGATAGGTACTGGGTTCAGCGGAATTATTGATGAGCACTTCTGAGGAGTTCCATATTAGAACGAAACGGCCGTTCAATGCTTTCAGGTTTTTCATGGTGATCTAGCTATAATTGACTCATGAAATCAACTATATAACTATTAAGATCTCCACAAAATCCCCCTTCTGATAAAACGGTTTATGTAAGTAACTAGTAAATTATCAATAAATTAAATTATACCTACATAAGTTCAACTGATGTTAAATTAATTGACTTAATTTTTTATCACACGAATTAATTCCGACTTGATTTATTAGACACTGTTCTTTATAATATTAGTTAAAACACCAATGAATGTTTGACATAACTGAATACTATTATTGTAGTGAATAAAAACACGAGTGGGAACAATCGAATGTATTTGAACACGGAATTACAGAAAATCTCACTAAAATCTGGGAACTATACAGTAAATACTTAATTTGCAAAATATCAATTAATTATCCCAAACATGATTGTTTCTTTTGCAAATATCAGTCCATCGTCTCAGATTTCATTGTTCGTACATTTTCATACCGATTACTTTACGTCGCTGTTCTTTCATTCTCGATCCTCTACTGAAATACATTCGGTTTCTGACTATCGTTATATACTACTTTTGTGTATATAAGTAATGCACACCACAAGATTATAGTAATCATCAGTTGATCCATTCAGACAAAAGTTTTACTCAGCATCATAAATATGAAAGTTAGTAAAACAAAAAACAACCAGTTACTCATCAAATAAAGAAAACACTCATATGAATAAAAAATATTTTATATAAAGAAAATTATGTTATTCATTTGAATAATAATATTACACTGAATAGAAAGATTTATTCTGTATACATTAGTTTAGTAATGAATCGAAAATAACTATCAGCAACATCAAAAGATACCGAATGTATAAACGAATCATAATAAAAATGTTGACAAATACAATTTGTAACTTTCTCAAGTATTCAAATTAAAAAACAAAAAAATATAAAAAAAAATACAGCGGCAATTTATTTGAAATACATTTTCTTGCCCAGAAACTACTGTTCAAATATCCTTCTTGTATATATATTAGCGCCAGGCGCTTAACCAACTAAACCACTGAGCCGGCATCCAATGGTGTTGATGTTTAACCTCAACCAATCCACGAGATTGCGCGACCATCTTCCATCGTACTGAGGTAGACACCTGTTTCTACCCGTCATGGATTAATTCATTGGTTACAGCTTCTCACCAAAACTCCGAGTATTTTCTCACGAAGCTAGTCACTAGTGAGGACATGGTAATTATTAGTATAGGGGTTGTGGAGATTGGTCAGTTTTTGATTGAAATCATGAATCAATTGAAGCTAGACCACCATGGAAAACCTGGAAGCACTAGACAGCCGTTTCGTCCTAGTATGGGATCTGAGGAGGTCCTGAGTTCGGATGTCACGGGGTGCATAATCGTGGATGCGCACTGCTGAGGAGTCCCGTACTAGGACGATACGGTCGTCCAGTTCTTCCAGATTTTCCATGGTGGTCTAGCCTCAATTGACTCATGATTTTGATCAAAAACTTAACAATCTCCACAACCCCTAAACTGATATCTTTTTTTCATTAAGGTGTTAATATTAAGTTTTATTGTTAACCTTTATTCATTCAACTAGATATGAAGTAACATTTTGATCTATAAGATTAACTTAAGAAATAAATAGATAAATTACTGTTGTGTTTTTTTTCTTCTCTCTTTTTTTTAAATTTTTGATTGGAAACAGACAAGGATTAGTGATTACTGGCTAGATGGTTAAAATAAGATTTCTTATTACAATAAAGTTATCTTTTAGAATTAAATTATTTTTATTTTGATTGTAGATAAGATTATATTACTTAAATAATGAATAGATTTAGATTGAAAATTAATCAATCCCCATGAAACAGACTATAATGATTGTAATATTATTCTTGAAAATGAAAATGAAAATAATAATAATAATTAGTTCCAGTCTCTTGAAGTGGAATATAGTTCTTTCCTTTATTAAAAGATTTAATACTTTCATAAAGGGCAAACTTTATCATTATAGTTTGTTTATTTTTATAGAAATGATTTTACCTACATTTTTATGTTAGTTATTCATGAATAGTAGTCGTTTGGTAGAATAGTGAACTGAAAAACATTTGTTACTGATATATCTTTTGTATTGATTGATCTTTATAATGTTTTCAAGATCCTTATATCATATTGAAGAATTAATACTTGAATGAAGAATATTCTTTCCGATAAATTCTCTTCAGGTTCTATAACAATTATACATCAAAAATAACAATCCGAAAAATGTCCAAGTTAGTGGCAAAGTACATCGTTTAAAGTATGTGAATTTAGGATTGTCAAATAAAATTGTTAATGTTCATATATATCTTACTAAATTTTTACGCAGTACAGTCTTTGATTAAACATTTGATCGAATTGTAATTGTACTACTATTTCTCTCACCCTATCTGACCCATATTTATTCTGATCAGGGATCTTATAATTCTCACTCACACATATATATACTGATTCAAGTTAACATTCTATATGAGTTATATTAACCTTAACAATTTTATTATATTTTGTTTGACAATACTAAATTCGCACTCTTTAACTTTAAACTATGTG